GTTTTCGGACTACCACTTCCTGAACTGTAAGCCAAAAGAAACCTTTCGTCTTCGTAAGTTAATTGTCTCAGGCATTTCATTACAGTAACATGAAGCGTTCTAATACACACCTAGTATTACAATAGAATTGAAATCTCCTATGCAGTCTCCTTTCTCATTTGTTCCTTTATACTTTCACTGTGTGGGTGTACACCTTGTGATATAGTGATTTTTGAGTGTAATAAATTTCTGTTCAATAAAAGCTTTATTTGCCGACATGTACTTAGCCAACTGACTTCACTGAAAGTTGAAGTGAGAAGCTGAAAAATCAAAGCAGGTCAAAGCTGTGAAAACGTCTGAAAAAGTGCTTATTTTCCACTTTTGTTCTAATTGTTTCTCAAGTTTGCCTTTGGATTTTTGAAACTTCACTTCTCAGCCTTTCTGGTAAGACCAGGTATAGATTTTTTTGACCTTCATAAGTTCTTAGGAGAAACACTAGTGTTTTTTAATCCTTACGTAATAGATTAAATGATTCATTCACTGTAAACATCCCTGTGTATTATTCGGCTCCATGACCTCCGCCGACATGGCTGCTGTTGCATAAGCTGTACAAAGGCCCAATGGAAATAGGCCTGCGACAAAGACAATGTTATTTCAGTAACTTACTTCAGGACTCCTGCGACCAATGTGTATCTCTGGTTACATAAGCAGTTAGGTTTGCAGCAGATACTCGGACCACCACGGTGGGCCCCTGGAAGAGCTGCTGTGAGCACATGAAAGGCAGCTCAGCTGGACATGAGGCTTAGAGCCGTCTGCCCACAGTGCTGGATGGAAGTGTAAAGGACAAATGGAAATTACCAACCCAACCGTGAGAGGCAGGGGGGAATGAGGGCGCTATTTTAAGCACAGTGAGAGGAGAATTTGAAGTGAAAAGGGCAGGACCCATTTGGACAGTAGGTGGCACAATGTTTTTTTTAGTGTTGCTAAGAATTACACTTGGAAGGTAAGAAGTGATAAACTGTGAACCAGAGGGGTCAGGTAATCCAGGAGAAACTCTATGAAGAATTGTCACAGAATGCATACTCACATACATACTTCAGTACACGCATAATACATACACACACACCCACACAGACATACAGATAAGCTTAGGAACCTGTGGATAGAGGTAACAACTTACTGTAAAACTTGACCGCATGGACACTCTCACTGTAATTGTTCCCTAGGCCTCCACCGTGTTTCCCAGAACTTACCCACCAACGGAGCAAAGTGCTGACTGAGTGCATAGAATCCCAGGCACTTGTTAATGCCAGTCCTGTGTGCCAGCTCCCCTCCGAAGGATGAGGTCCCAGGGAGGACCAGCCATCAATGCCACGGAAAACAGGTGCCTATAGTCAGGGAAGCCTGTCAGATTGGCTTGAAGACTACTTTGGTTTTGTTCTGGGATGGGAGGGGGGTGCTTCTGCAACAGTTTGGGCTCTTCTGCTTGAGACGCTGGCCTTCCAGCAGAAGCCAGAGAGCAGAGACTTCCACATTTGGAAGAACAAGGCTCCCTTCCGGGATGACCAAAGGCCAGACACAGCAAGGAGATTTGGTCCAGTTTTAGACCTGCCACCCAAAGGCTGAAAACAGACCTACGACCCCTGGCTGCAGAACCTGGACCAGATGGTAGATGACCAGGCATCCTTTGAAAAGCCACTGTGCGTGAGCCAGGTAGTTCATCTGTCCCAACTGAAGCAAGGGACTCGAGGGCTGGACATATCCTCAGAGAGAAGCAGGTGTTTAGCAGTTTCCGGGAAAGGAGGGCACCAGCGGAAGGCCACCTGCGGCAGCTGCTCCAGAGGGCTGGGCTGGACCACAGGAGGAAGCCGCGCGGCCATACGCGGAGTAGAAGGAAAACTGTGCTTGACGTTAAAGTTCCCTGTGGGACAAACGCATTACATTAAGTGCTCAGAGGCACACGTCCAGCGCAGATAAGGCAAGGCGGGTGGTTTAGAGGCCGACGGGACCAGAACGGGGTGGAGGGCGTTAACACATCTGGAAAACGGGAATTCGGTGTGGGAAAGAGGGGCTGCCCTTCCCTTTGCCCGCATCGCAGCCTCAGCGCACCGTCAGGTTGCCGAGCACCACGGGGTGGCGCTGCCGTTTAATCTTTTGTGTCCAAGGTCAGCCTGTCTCTCTACGATGATTGCAAACACTTGCCTGTTGACTGCGTTGTTTTCTTGTTATCTTACAGACTGAACAAAATTTGGAAGTCACCGTGAAGGAGAAAATTCTCTCTAAGGCGGGCTCAAAAGTCTGGCCCTCGTTGCAGCGGCATTTTCTCTGAAATAACGAACCCTCATTCGTCTCTGTGCTCCTCCCCCCCCCTTGTGACATTTCAAAAATAGAGGTCAATATTGCAACTGACAGAATCACATGTTGTCGCTGCCGAGGTGAGGCTCCAGGCCTCTGGGGAATCCTTTGGGTCGTTTTTACTTTGTCTCATTCTTAGTGCTATGTGCTTACGTTCTGCCTCAGCTGTCCCTGGCTTGACTCCCTTATGCCCAGTCTTGCTTCCTTTCTCCTAAATAAACACACTGAAAACAAGACCCATCCAAGGTCTTCCTGAACCACTGTCACCATGTGAGAGAAGGAAGTCAACACACAAAGGGAAACGGAAATCAGAGAGGAAGACTGGGTGCAGTCAACCAGAAGGCCAGCTCTAAGGCAGGCATCCTGTGGTCTGGCTATGTGAGCCAGATGGTTCACATCTGAAAGTATTCTGTTTCAAGGCTGGGTTGATCTGGCTCTTCAAGTAGAAAGTCCTGGCTGGTGTAAGAGGCACCTGAACGAACTGCATGGCTTACTCTTAAAATGGTTGGTTTAAAAGATCACTCCTCGGTTTAGATGGCTTGTTGAAATTTTTGTTTGATAGCCCATGAAAGCTACTTGACCGTTCTGTGTCTCGGTTTCTTTCATTTTCTTTCTTAAAAAAATTTTTTTTGTTATTAATTAACTTATTAATTTGTATTGAGCCAGGGTCTCCTGTACCCCAGGCTGGCTTTGAACTCTGTAGATAGCTGAGGATGGCCTGAATTTTTGGATCCTCCTGCATGCTGGGATTCCAGGCCTGTGCCACCGCACCTGTTTTTCTGTGGCGTAGGGAATTGAAGGGAGGGCTTTGCCCATACGTGGCAGGCCCTCTGCCCTCACCTCCTGAGCCCTGCTTGGTTTCTTCAGTGTGGAATTACATTAGCCAGCGCCTACTTCATCGCGTCGTTACAAGAATTAGAAAAAGTATTACATATGCGCTGCCTAGAACAGGCCTGGCTGGGAAGGAACCAGACCCTTTCTCTTCACCCACTGAAAATTATCAGCTTCAGGCTCATGTCATTCTTGGCCGTGTAACTCTATTGGGAAATACCTTTGCTGCTTTGTGGGTTGGTGAAAGCATGGCGAGAGATGAAAATGGTTGCCTCCTGCCCTTCATCTGGAGTTCCAGAAGGCAAACACCTAAAGGAGCAAAGTCAGGAGCCCTCAAGGAGTAAGACAGCAGCCTTGGGTAAGAACGCTTAGAAAGACAGCGGGGACTGCGGCAAAATGAGAAACATACCTGTCAATACACAGCCACCCGTACCATCACCAAACAAGGTTTTGTCTTTACCGAATCTGACTTTTATGCAAAAAAGTACATTTTTGCAACATTGATTAAACACACGAGACCAAATAAAATACACCTGCCAACCGCCAGCCTGAGGTTTCCGTTGCATAAAGTTTATGGAGCAGCATAGTAAACAGCAAGATTTTTTTTTCGTAAGATGTTTTAAAATAATAAATTAATATAGATTGTATAAAATAAGGTTGATGAGTGAGAACCAGCAGTCTCCTCCTCTACCCTTCTAATGGTCATAATGTCCTAAATATTACCATTACTTCTTATGCATCCAGTTTTGCTTTTTGTTTTGTGGAGTTTTATAAATCTGTTTTGTGTTTTGTTGTTGTTGTTTGTATTTTGAGACAGGGTTTCTCTATGAAGCCCTGAAACTCACCATGTAGACCAGGCTGGCCTTGAACTCAGAGATCCACCTGCCTCCGCCCCCTCAAGTGCTGGGATTAAAGGGCTGTGCCACTATGTGCAGCTAAAGTATCTAATCCTTATTATAAAACATGAAGATCTAATTCCTGGATCTGGGAGATTAATGGTTTATTGGTAGAACAATCACCTGGCAGGTCCTAGGTTTGATCCCCAATGACTAAGTAAAGACAAAAAAAAAAAAAAAAGTGTAATAAGGATTTAATCATAAATATTTTACAGTTCATGGGGGGTGCTTAAAAAATGGAATTTCATGTGTCCCTGGTTGTTTCCTCATGATTCCTTTTTTAATTTTATAAACTTCATATTTTTAAAACCTTACAAAAAAAAAATCACACACCAAAATTAACCAGATACAAGTCAGAGAACTTCTATACAGTCCCATCCTGTCCAGTCTGTCCCGTTCCGCCCCCTTCTCCCTAGATGGTGGGGATCCTCCAGCTCCCATTTGCTAGGATTACTCACTTAGGCCACCAAGCCCAGCCTAATTGCTTTTCTAAAGCTTGTGAAAGCTAAATCAGCAGGATTAAATCACAACCACAACAGTTACTTGATGGAAAGATGTAATGCAAAGATTTTTTTTTTTTTTTAAACAGCCTCTCGAACTCTTTGTAGACCAGGCTTGACCTGGAAACCACAGAAATTCTCCTGCTTCTGTCTCTCTCTCTGTGTCTTTGTCTCTCTTCCTTTTTTTTTCAAAGATGCTTTGTGCATGGTCTTTAATAGTACATGACATCTTTTTAGGACTCGCTTTGTAGACCTGGCTGGCCTTGAACTCACAGAGATCCACCTGCCTCTGCCTCCCTGAATGCTGGGATTGCAGGCATGCGCCCCGTGGCTTGGCTCAGTGTGAAACATCTTTAGCTGAAGGGGTTAAAAAGAACCGGAAACCGGGTTTCCCGGCTCTGCTACTGGGGCTACACTGGGTGACTCGCTTGTGGGGGCCTACCCTGTGTGTAGTAGGATGTTTATTTCAAAGCATCCCCGACCTCAGAACTCAGCAGAGGAGGTCAATGCTCCCTAGCCTGCCCTGCGCTGTAACAAGCAAGCACCTCTCCAAACTTTGGCAGACGTTCGCGTCTTCAAGTGATCTCAAAGGCAGCGGAGGTATCGAAGAGCTGCCACCCGCGGCGTTGGGAGAGGGGAAGGAGAAGAAGCCGGAATTGCTTAAATTAGCATTCTGCTGATGCCGCTCTCGGCACCGCGCACGGTGAAGCTAGCTCTGCCGGTGCTGCCAAAACTGCAAACTGGACTCCATTGCGGTTTGTGGGACCAATCTGCAAGCTTCAAAGTCCGCCGCCCTGACCGCGTCGGCCTTCCTCGAGCGCCCCCTGCAGGCAGAGCCAGGCAAGCCCCTTGGTTGAGGGGTTAGACCAGAGTGGGTTCCAGGGGAGACTCTTCGCTGAGATCATCCGTGCATGATCACGTGTGGTTCTGAGACTTTAAAGAGTTCGCTAACCACTCACCCGAGGCAAAGCTGGAACTCTCTGCAGGGATGGAGGAAGAGCGCGGCATGTTTGCATGGACGCCTGTGGACAGCAGGAAGTCTGAAGAGCGTAAGCTAACGTGCTTATCGGAACAGACTGCACACCGTTTCTCGGTGGCTGGCCTTCCCCTCCGTGGATTGACTCTTTCTGGTTTTGTTCTCGTCGTAACCTTACTTCCAGTCTTGAGGATATTTGTCTTAATCCATCTGTGACCACTGTCCGAGACAGTGGAAGTGGCTAGTGCTGCATTTGACATTTTTGTCTTTGTCGTTTTAATGTTTCTTTCTCCCGCGAGGCTGTTAATACCTCCACAGGAAGAGTGTTTTATTGATTTTTGTTTGCCCACAGTCTGACTTACGAAGTATTCCTTAAAGGCCTAATAACGGACGAACTGTCTGAAAGGCAAAAGAAGAGGAAATGTAAATGTGCTTGAAAAACAAACAAACAAACAAACAACCACCTCCTTCCAGGGACAGCATGGGTTCTCAGATAACAAGGGAATTAAAACAAAATTTAAAGGGCCAGGCATGGTGGCTCACAGCTTCATTTAATCCCAGCACTTGGAGACAGAGGCAGGAGGATCGCTATGAGTCTAAAGCCATCATGGTCTACAGAATCAGTCCCCAGGCAGCAAAGGCTACATAGTGAGACTTGGTCTATGTATTAAATACTGTAGAAGCAGCGGTTACACTAAATGGACCCTCTTTTCAAACTCTACAGGAATATTTTGTAACAATAAGTGATTCTGGATGGATGACGGATCTAGAATATGAAAGATTTTGTCAGATGACAAAAATGCACTATAAGATGTCTACGCTGTGCTGACTTGGCTCCCTGAAAAATGGTCTATCCCAGTGGCCCTCAGCCTTCCTGATGCTGAGCTCCTTTAGCACAGCTCCCCATGTCATCATCACCCCCAACCATGAAATCGTTTCTTGTTGCTACTTCATAACTGTAATTTTGCTGTGTTGCAGATTGTAATGTAGATGACTGGTATGCAGGATATCTGACAAGCCGCCTCTTCAAAGGTGCACAGACAGACCCACAGGCAGACCCACAGGCTGAGAACCACTGGTCTATCCCATGGAGTGTTTCAGGACGCACACAGAGGCAGTTCTGTTACTAACGAAGACTGAATGGCTTCACTGTGAGTACCTCAACTCATCCTTATAAACTGGTAGCAAGATTCTTTAATTTTAACCAGGAGTGCTGGCACATGCCTTTAATCCCAGCACTTAGAGGCAGAGGCAGGCAGGAAGCCAGCCTGGTCTACAATGTAAGTCCAGGACAGCCAGGACTACACAGACAAACCATGTCTGGGCAGAGAGGTACGTGGAGGCATGTGTGTGCCGTATTACCTGTGTGGGTGTTACCCGTGTGGACACATGTGTAAGTCCTTTCTCTCCTTCCACAATGTGATCGGGAACAAGCTCAGCATCTCAGCTTTGCATAGCAAGCGCTTTTACCGCTGAGCCATCTCAGCAGCCCTCTCCTCAGCTCCTCTGCCTTTTTGCTTCATTTCTCACTTTCCCCCCCTGCAGAGCCTCGGTCTTGACCTGTCCAGTTCGGTGGAGCTGTCAGTCCAGCCCGCGCTCACAAGTGCCTGTAGCTCCAGCTCCAGGGGGATCCTATGCTCCTGCCCTCCCCAGGCCCACCTGTGTGTGCACAGGAGTGCATGCGCACAGAAATTAAAACTAATAAAAACAAATATTTAAAAAAACAACAACCAAGTATCACTATAAGGCTGACCATACCACTCTGGGGACACGTGGGCCTTTGGAGAACATTCTAGATCCAAACTAAAGCAGCCCTCAATGATCCTGCCCTTGCTTATTGCTATGATCTCACCTTTACTGCCTTCCAGTCATTCACTCTAGTTTTCCCGGTGCTCCTTGAACATGGAAGTAGTATTTCTACCTTAGAGCCTTTGCACAAGCAAATCCTTCTGTTCAGAATAGTCTTCCACAGATGTTTGCATGGCTTACCTCCTTTTGTTCCTTCCTTCCTTCCTTCCTTCCTTCCTTCCTTCCTTCCTTCCTTC